TAAAAGGTAATTTATGGTAAAATATTTCAAACATAGGGTTGATGCAAGATTAAAGTTAAAGTTTAATAGGAAGTATTACTAAAAAGTTTCCCATATATCTTGAAAAGTTTTGCATGGATTGTTTCAATGGCATATGTATGCATAATTAATTCTTTATTAACTATAATTTGTTAAAAGGGATGATTTTTAAATATCATTATCGTACATATTTTGTAGACAGATAAATCATTTTCATTTTTTTTATTTATTCACACAAGATATATAAACTGCATGATAAAATCACTATAGTCGGTATATGTACCAATCTTCTGATAGAAGTGAACTTTTTTGACTTGTCAATCCATTATGTGTCAATGCATAATATCTAAGATATTTATTACTTAGTTTGCTCGCGACATCTTGAGTGTGTCTGAATTTATTACAAAATATTTATTTTTGTACTCCATTAAGACTATTTTAGCAAATTGCAGTGTTCATAAAATACACATTGGCCAAGAGATCAAGAAGGTAGACTTAATATTTCATATTTGACAACCATTTCCTGCACTGTACATGTTCTCCTTATTTCATTATGCAGCGTATTCCTTGTATCACTTTCATAAATAATACAGCACAAGAAAGATGACTATAAATTACACCCAACCAGAAAGTGTACTTGTATAAGTGTATTTTTACCTAGAGACAAGCTAAACAAGGTCCGCCATATCCAGATTCTTCTTTAATTTTACGATAAAACTGAAATAGCTCTATTTTAACTAGAAGTAACTATTAAAGAGTAATAGGATTATCTAATTTTAAAGACATATCTTAATTATAGGACGAGCGGGGTGTGTCCTCTGAAATACTGATATATATATATATATATATATATATATATATATATATATATATATATATATATATATATATATATATATATATATATATATATCTGTGTGTGTGGTTGTAAAAAGTAAATAATAATAGCAGCATGCTATTGTATAGAGTAAATAAAGGTGTAAGTCCAACACTGCAATTAGAAAACAGCAATATGTACGTTTCAGTGTGCATGGATATCCATTTCTTGTCTATATGTTGGACTTGAATGTTCATAGTCATATCCATACATGATCCATATGTACTATCCATCTAAACAAATAATTAAAAGAATATTGCAATTGTGTACCCTTATAATGTAAACAATGATGTCACAGCTAGTTTAGAATAGTGCGTTTTTAATTTACTGATTTAGATGGAGGCTTTAATTGACAGTATCATGTTGTTTATTCTTAATTTACATGACAAGCGATTGAATGAACAATATGATTATTAGTTATTAAAGTTAAGATGAGTTTCCTCCAACCCGAAAAATCAAAATTTAAAACATGAGGCCAGGTAACTAGACTCGCCAGTTTAGAAAAAAAAACATATAAAGAAATTGACTGCATGGTAACCATCAGTAAAGGCGATGTAAGTATCCTTTCTAAAATAATTGGTCGCTGTATTTATGGGAGGGGGTTAAAATAACTCATAGAGAAAAATGAGCTTTTACAGTATTCATGGTATAATAAAATTTTGATGGTCAAAGTCCCGACTACGATTTGTTACTTATGGCACCACAAGAATACTGTAATAACAGACGCAAGTGCATTTAGGCAACACCCATCATCCGTGCAATTCTAAATTTAGAGGACCCGACACAGTGTTGCGATTTTTCTTATTTCTTTTTAATATTGACATCGGTTCGAATGAGTAATAAATTATTGACTGTATTATTATGACAGTAATGTGTTTCGGCGGTTAGATGTCGTATTGGTGTATTAAAAATCTAAATCACGGTCCTCCTTCATCAGGGATCCAACCATAATTTCTATAATGGCAAAATAGCTTTTCTAAGCAAATACTCAGTAACCAATATTTTTATGTTTAGCATATACAATCATTGGTTTTGTTTTAAAGATTTGTTTGCATGTTTCATCTTTTAAAACTAATGACCAGCATTTTGATGATTTGGATTTCAAAAATTTGATTCTTGGGTCATACTTTGTAATTTGATCATAAGCACACTGTTATTAGATACAAATAAATAAATACATGTAAATAAATAAATAAACAAATTTATAAAGAAAGAAAATAAAAATTAAAAAATGGGTTTTTTTAAAATGATATGCGGTTCTAACTTTTAAATGCGATAATAAATCAATGCCGTAAAGTATATTATACATATTTTAGGACGATCAGTTCTTGTATTCTCAAAAATATTAGACTAGCTGAGACTCGCAATGCCGAATTATTTCATTTTTTTAAAAAGGATTAACATCTTACTAAAACCTTTGCCTTATTCTCACCCATCCCTTCATTTCATTAGTATATCAAAAAAATATATAAATATTTAATTTTGAATAAATTCTGTTTTAAAGTCAATTACATCCTTTTTGGGTCCCCAAGTTTTCGACACATGGTCACAACGTGAATATCTTTAGTGTTTTCAAAATAAAATCGACTCAGTTGGAATTCTTTTGAAGTAAATTTCTAAAATGGCAAACTGTAAAGTTAATGTGTTTTGATTAACTTAGTGTTTGAATCAAAATTCTAAATCAAACAAGAGGCCCATGGGCCACATCGCTCACCTTTAACACATTGGCTAGGCAAAAGCACAAATCAGTTCAGTATTGAAAAGGTTACCGGGGGGGGGGGGGGGTACCTGATGATGCTTCCATGTCAATATAACAAATGGATTTGTTGTACTTGAGTAAATTTTGAGAAAATTTGATCCCCCATTGTGGTTCCTCCCTATCCCAGAGGTCAATATTTGAACAAACTTGAATCTACACTACCTGAGGATGCTTCCATATCAATATGACTAAACATAGCTTTTCTGTTCTTGAGAAGAAATATTTTTTCTGCATGTTCTTATGTAAAACTTTCGATCCCCCATTGGGCCCCATCCTACCCCAGGGGTCATCATTTGAACGAATTTGAATTTACACTATCTGAGGATGCTTCCATATCAAAATGGCTAAACATGATTTTCAGTTCTTGAGAAGAGGATATGTTCCTTTATGTTCCTATGTAAAATTTTCGACCCCCCATTGTGGCCCATCCCTATCCCCGGGGGTCATCATTTTAACAAACTTGAATCTACACTACCTGAGGATGCTTCCATATCAAAATGACTAATCATGGCTTTGCAGTTCTTCATCAGAAGATATTTTCCTATATATTTCTATTTAAGACTTTGATCCTCCATTGTGGCCCCACCCTACCCAAGGGGGTCATGATTTGAACAATCTTGAATTAACACTACCTGAGGATACTTCCACATAAATATGATCATTCAGGGCTTTGCTGTTCCTGAGAAGAAGATTTTTAAAATTTTTCCTATATATTTCTATGTAAAACTTTGATCCTCCAATGTGGCCCCGCCCTACCCCCATGGGTCATGATTTGAACAAATTTGAATTTTTACTACCTGAGGATGCTTCCATATAAATATGACCAATCAAGGCTTTGCTGTTCTTGAGAAGAAGATTTTTTAAAGATTTTTCCTATATATTTCTATGTAAAACTTTAATCCTCCATTGTGGCCCCGCCCTACCCTCGGGGGTCAAGATTTGAACAATTTGAATTTTTACTACCTGAGGATGCTTCCATATAAATATGACCAATCAGGGCTTTGCTGTTCTTGAGAAGAAGACTTTTTAAAGATTTTTCCTATATATTTCTATGTAAAACTTTGATCCTCCATTATGGCCTCACCCTACCCTCGGGGGTCATGATTTGAACAAACTTGAATCTTCACTACTTGAGGATGCTTCCATATAAATATGACCAATCAGGGCTTTGCTGTTCTTGAGAAGAAGATTTTGAAAGATTTTTCCTATATATTTCTATGTAAAACTTTGATCCTCCATTGTGGCCCCGCCCTACCCTCGGGGGTCATGATTTGAACAAACTTGAATCTACACTACCTGAGCATGCTTCCACATGAGTTTCATCTTCCCTGGCTCTGTCGTTCTTGACAAGAAGATTTTTAAAAGATTCTATTAATTTTTCACTAATTCTTTATTATCTCCCCTTGAAAGAGGGCATGGCCCTTCATTTGAACAAACATAAATCCCCTTCACCCAAGGATACTTTGTGACAAGTTTGGTTGAAATTGGCCCAGTGGTTCTTGAGAAGAAGATGAAAATGTGAAAAGTTTACGACAACAACGACGCCGACGACGACAACGCCGACGACGACAGACAACGGACAATTTTTGATCAGAAAAGCTCACTTGAGCCTTTGGCTCAGGTGAGCTAAAAAGTCTGCAGCGTTCTGAAAGTTGAAATTTAGAGTTATATTTTCAAACTTTTAAAAGACGAACATGATATTGAATTTTTTTAGATCGTTAAGCAAAAATCTTCCCTTCAATAGATAGATTAATAATTCAAAAATTTCAAATACATAAAATTTAGGATATTAAAACTGTTTAATTGAATTTTAAGTTTTGATTTTTGAATTAAAATATTTTTAAATTTCAGTATTCAAAATAAATTAAAATTTTTATTAAAAAAAATCAAGCATTTGAAATTACTACATGTATATGAGAGGAACAACATCTACACAAGAAAGACAACTTCAATGACACCCTGTATTTTAACCTTCCAATCAGGTGATAACAAGGTCCGCCATTTCGCATTTTCTGGATTCTTATTTTGATACATGTACATGTATATAGAGACTGAAATTGCCCGTTATAAGGTACTGTTACTTATATGAAATAATTTAACTATTTATATGCATAAAAGGTTTATGAAATAATTTAGACAGGTAATTTGATTAGATACAGGTTGGGGTGGGGTGGGGGGTCTCTAACATTCCTAAGTTGATATTAAACTTTTAAACGAAAAATCGGTATATTAGTAGTGAAATATGTGATGTTACAAATTAGATTAACCAGGACATTTTGGTTTGTCAGAAGAATTGATATAAATAGACTTAAAGAGTAGATGTTTCTCCTTTCATTTGTACTTTCATATATTGTAGATTTGGATATGGATCCCAGCAACAGTGCCCAAGATGTCGTCCGATGTGACCTTTGTGAGAAAGCTATCGTGCAGATGTACTGTGATTTCTGTCATGTCAATCTGTGTATTCCTTGTATAGGAAAACATATTTCTGATGACTATAATAAACATATTGTGGTCCCATTCCAACAAAGAAAATCTACTTTGATTTATCCACAGTGCACAATACATGATAAAAAAAGATGTAAATTTCAATGTGAAGAATGCAACACCTCTGTTTGTTCTTTGTGTACTATATCTGAAACACATAAGGGGCATAACATTTCAACTCTTTTGGGTATCTATAATTCAAAGAGAGAAGTCATTGGAAAAGATGCTGAAGAATTAGAAAACATAGTTTCTCCAGCTTATGAAGAAATTGCAACTGAAATAGAAGCTCAGATTGCTAACCTGGATGGAGAATATGAAAAACTTACAACAGCAGTTACAAAACATGGAGAAGAATGGCATAAGGAAATTGACAATACTGTAAACAAAATGAAAACAGAAATTGAAGAGATAAAAATCAAACATGTGAGCATTCTGAAAAAACATTTAGATGAAATTAAACAGATACAAAATCTGATTGAACAAACACTACTTAGATTAAATAGAATAGATGAATCAAATGAAGTGTCTATGACTATGGAATACATTTCTAAAATCAAAGAATTAAGCAAACTTCCACATAAAGTTACGGTATCACTGCCAATATTCAATCCTAAGTCAAAAGATACAGAGCAACTTTATAAGTTGTTTGGATCTTTAACACCATTATCCACCAAATCAGAAGAGAATGGCTACACACTGAATAAACCAGAGACACCAACCAGAAAACTGCTGGAAGAACTAGAACTTATCACTTCTATAAATACTGGGTATGAAAACCTTCGCAGTGTCACTTGTATCAGTGAAGAAGAAATCTGGACCAGTGCAGAAGTCAGTGATATGAAATGCTTTAACATCCAAGGCTCACTTATCAAAACAATCAAAACAAAATCAGGGGAGTGGCCAGGTGATATAGCAGTGACAAGTGATGGGAGTCTAGTGTACAATGACTGGAAAACAAAGACTGTGAAAAAAGTAAAGAATGGACAGATAGAGGAGGTTATCAGACTTCAGGGCTGGACACCCAACAATCTCTGTGTCACCTCCACTGGTGACCTCCTGCTTACCATGTTCAGTAATGATAAAACACAAGCCAAAGTTGTCCGTTACTTGGGCTCTACAGAGAAACAAGCAATCCAGTTTGATGATGAGGGTAAACCTCTGTATTCAGGATATCACTACATTAAATACATCAGTGAGAACAGAAACCTGGATATTTGTGTGGCTGACTTTAAAGCAGGTGCTGTAGTGGTAGTCAATCAAGCTGGAAAACTCCGATTTAGACACACTGGTCATCCTTCTGCTACAAAGATTAAACCATTTAAACCCCGTGGCATCACAACAGACAGCCAGAGTCAGATCCTGACAGCAGACTGTAACAACGACTGTATCCACATCCTAGACCAGGATGGACAGTTCCTCCGTTATATAGATAACTGTGACCTGAAGGATCCATATGGTTTATGTGTGGACAAAAATGACAACTTGTTTGTGGCTGAGTGCAGAGGAAATGTTAAAAAAATTAAATATTTACTGTAATATTACACCTCATAATAATAATGACAGAAAAAACTGTTTTACCATGTTTGTTGATCAAATTTTCTATAATCTTTAAATAATGCAAGAAAATAAAACCAATATATGTATTTCGATATTTTGTCAAAGTGCAAACTTCGATCTAGGCATCTTATCCATCTTAGAGTTAATCAGGAAAGTATAAGTCTAGATACTATTCCATGAACATTGTTGTTTACTAATATTTTTCTGCTAAAAAAAAAACTGACACAACAGAAAGATCAACTAATGATACAAATTCAACCACAACCTTTCCTGTGATAAAATCATACAAGGAGATTTCCTTTAATTCATGTATTGTCAAGTCTCAAGGCATATCTGGTCATTGACCTACCATAATAGAAACTTGGCGACTTCTTTCACCTCCTGAAAAATATATCAAAATGTAACTGAATTCATAGCACATCAACAATCAAAATGTTATGAACTTCATACTGAATGGCAAACTTAATTGCAGCAGGTTACCAACCTTCCTGAACTCATGGAAACTTTAGAACCCCCCCCCCCTCCAACACACACACAAAATAACTATGCTGGCATCCGCAAGAGATTGTGCTCTACATCAGTGACACTGAAGTACACTATGACATTTATCTTTTATGTAAGTTAAATTGGGTGAAGCTGTAGTACGGGGTGTCACCATTTGATCTGTAGAGAAAGATGTTGCATTTTATATTTTTTCGCAATTATTGTCAAAATATTAAATGAAATATACTTCAAAATATTTACTTGCAGTATAGTTCATTTAATTTTTCGACAATAATTGTAAAATAGTGTGAATCTACTTATATGTATATTCAACATTATCCACTTATCCACAATGCTTAAATTGTTTGTTCAATACACATTTACAATTGCTTTTGCTGAATGAATTCACACATGAGTCTTAAATAATGATCTGCCCAATAAAAAAAGTAGCGATGGCAATCGAATACAAAATTGCTTATCGGTTAACCTCTAATCGATTAACCGGTTAATCGTATCAAATACACATTTTTCTGACCTCTTTTTTCAAGTAAACTCTATTCATATATTACGCAAGAAAATTTTCAAAAAAAGGATTAGTAAAATTTTGTATATGCTTGATCACTGCACTTTATGTGCTATATTTCAATTTAATAGAAAAAAAATAAGAAAACCATGAAATATCCATCAGATATTTAAGACTGATGATTTTTCAGACCAGATGTTACGCAAAATCATTTTGCATTTTACATTTGCTGAATGAATCCACACATGAGTCTTAAATAATGATCTGCTGGTAATGGTCTTCCATAGATTGCCTATACATGTACTTAACAAAAACAGAAAGTAGAGCTTCCTTATAGGGTAAAAATATCCCCTTCCTCCGCGCTCCACCCTACACCTCCAACCCCCCCCCCCCCCGGGAAAAAAAGCATCTATGTGTCCCACTTATGTTAAAAGTTTTCCAAGTCATTAGACTCGGGGTTTTTGTAGTGCTAAGCAGAGGAGAGCAATTGATTCCCCCTGGATGGTAACTCGGTATCTATTTTCAGGTGGGTGGACTGATACAATGAAGATTAAGTGCAATGTCTAAGAACACAAGACATAACATCAAGTACCAACAGTGTGATTTGAACCAGCACCCTTTGGTTTCTGATGAAATGCTCATGATAACTGTGCTGCTCTTCAAGCAACGCTATAAACTGCACTCTATCGGAGTATTATAAAAGTAACAAGAACAAGATATTTGGATTTAAAGGTGACACACTCAACCACAGATGTACTGATTTCTTTTCTATGATAGTTGATCGTCGTGGGCACCAGTTTTTTTCAGGTTCAATAAATGCTGACTTGTCCAGTATCACACAGTTGTCCATTGTGGTCCATCCAAAGAACTTATGGAACTGTGTACCCCCTTACTCTGGTCATCAAAACTCAAGTTCCTCACTAAATCCTCTAAAGGTAGCTAAAAATAGCATGAAAAAGCGCGTAAATCAAAATCATCATCTACATATAAATTTTCAAAATTATGCCTTCTTAACATTAGGATTAATTATTGATTAAATTGTGTTTTTAATCAATGTCCAATACAGTGGATTGATTACATCACTGGCATCCACACAAGAGAGTGCCACATGCATGGAAAAACACTTTTTAGAATCACATTGAATGTTAGTCCGAAATATCTGACGTTTTTCAGGCTTTTTTCACGATTGTGATATTATACGTGCCAGGAAAACGTCAGAATCGGTGCCATTACAAAAACTGGAAATTCGCCGCCTCCAACAGGAGGCGGCATTCTCGGTTGATTTTCGATACTTGCGAACCGAAGTAAATGTCAAACTTACAACTTATCAATAGAACAATACTTTTAGTACTCACGAACATCGTTTTTATGGTTTGTTTATAAAATATACAATCCGATGAAAACATTTTATCAGACTGACAGGATTTGTTTTCATTTCGAGCATTTTCAAATCTTGCAAATCCTGTATCGAAATGTGGAGTGATGTTTTCTTTTAATCGATATTGGTGAGTACTAAAAGCATTGTGCTTTTGCTAAGATGTGAGTTCGGTATTTGATTCGGTTCACAAGTATCGAAAATCAACTCCGGTTGGAGACGTCAGATATTTCGGACTAATTGAATGTTACCTGTGCTTCCTTGCTTATGCTATCTGCTCTGATAAGAATCTGTAATGCTTTTTCCTTTAAAAAATCTGAACAAAAGATTTACATTTTGTTAATTGCTTCTAATCCTGGATCAATGAAAATATTTGATGCAAACATGGACTTACGGGTAAACAAGTGCATTTACTTAATACATTACATCATTTAGTTATGCAATATTGTCCCCTTCATTCTTGAATTTCCAATGCCACAATTATTGTGTAAATATAAACATAAAACTTTTTTTTAAATGAAGATAAAGCTTCTGCTAGTTATTATATTGAATATATGAAATTCACTGCAGATACTGCATGTTAAATGTATAGAACGACAGATGTTAAATAATACCCGATGTCTACAACAAGACGAAATTTCTCAACTACACCATCATGCACACATAAAGAACTTGATTTTACCTAAAAACTGTGTTATTTTTGTGGTAAGAAGAAACTGTTTTGCAGTATATACTCGAATATTCAAAAGACAGCTCCTCAGGAAGGAAAATTCATTTAAATTATTTTTTTTTAAATGGGACCCCTTCTGGGGGCCTGTAATAAAGTGACTATGGTACACGTTTCACTAATTTGTTACTTCAGGCTTTCTTTATTTTGCTTGTATTTATCTGAATAAGCCATTTTCTTACTTGTATTTCGTTTAACGTTTCTTAATTTTCAGTTTCTAGCCATTTTTTGTTGTTTTAAAAGTTGAGATAAAGGTAAAATGGGTGAATATGATATTTTAGCACATATTTCCAAGTCTTTTGTCCTATGGCGAGGGGAGGGAGAGATGATTTTGGTTAACTGAATTGCATTAGTAAATCAAGTATATTATTTCCTTGAAATCTTTTCTTAGGAATTGCAAATGAAACATCTTATATTGAGTACTGTAGATATACTTATTTCACGTGGAATTATTTTGCGTTGGGTATGCAGTTACAAAATTTCTGCTAAAATTTGTCACAGTGTACTTAAACGTTATGGCAGTACAAGAAATCGTGCAGTTTTCTACCTGTGGATTAAACAGAAATTGAGATTCCGTGGAATTTGGACCTAAGGAAGAAAATATGTTAACAGGACTTTAATACATATTTTACATGTACATGTATTGATGCCTTCTATCACTAAAACAATACTTATCAGTAACTAGGGAGTCTAAAAACAATTATAAATTCAAATTGAGTTTTTGAATTTGAATGACACACTAGTGTTATATTAGCTACATGTAGTTCACAATTGATACCCTCAATAAATTTCTAATCTTTTTTTTTTTTTTTAAATTAATCAAAGGGCCTTAATCCTGTTCAGTTTCATTAAAACATACTCTGGTTATATTCAGCTTAGATCAGGAAATCAGCTGACAATTGTAACATAGTATTTTAAAGAAAAACCATTCAAGTTACTACAATATCACCTTGGCCTAGTTTAATGGAATTCATTTTGCAAATGACCAAGTACTTGCCTGAATGACTTTTATTAGATTACTGGCAGTCCCATTTAGAAGCAATTTTTCTGCGTTAAATAAATTTTTAAACGTCTTTATTAAAAGTCATGATCTGAACTTTTTTTTTCTGTATGTTAACTAGAATGCCCAGATGACCCTGGATCAGGGTCACAGGTGTCAATGTCTCTCCAAGCATACATATGACCATTATAGACTAAAAAGACTTCATAACCTCAATATACATGTATCTTCTACAGCCTTACCTTCAGCTATTAGACATTTTGGGTACCTTAAGAATTCCTCGTGTACTATTCCAGAGGAAATCAAACCAATCCCCCCACTTGCCATCCTCACCCCGGTCAGCTATCTCACTCAGTAAGTAGGTCATTGTCATTGTCAAGATCAGGGTTGGAAGGGTCCTCAATTCATATGGCAACGGTTCCTCCTGTTTAACAAATATTTTGAATATTTTAAATTTGTAAATCGATGTTAAAATAAATAGGTTACAATATCCAACCCTCCAATTTTTTTTAATTATATGCAAGCTAATTGTAGTGTGCAGTGCAGAGGTACTGCTATTTACATGTATGTATTTTAAATTATCCGATTCAGAAGAAATGCAAAAACAAACATGCTTATTGCCAAGGAATATCTTTACATGAATGAATATGAAAATAACATTGAGCTTAAGAAAAACTTAGCCTTATTTCATATATACATCTACATGTGACTTCTTTAAAGTTCTCTTTCCAGTATTTATGAATTAAAGAATCTGACCTGATCAGCTGAGGATCTACTGTACTCCTTCACAGGCAAAGTGTAATTCAACTGAGGATTGCCAGACTGTCAATAAAGAAGGATAATTTATACATACATTATCATGTATGATTCATTTTAGATTATATGTAACAAAA